CTCTCTCTCTCTCTCTCTCTCTCTCTCTCTCTCTCTCTCTCTCTCTCTCTGTGTGTGTGTGTGTGTGTGTGTGTGTGTGTGTGTGTGTGTGTATGAGTCCGTGAAACTCCGACGAAACAGTTTGTCACAGCCCCTCGTTTGTTGTCCTCTTCTCCCTCTCTGCCTATGGTTTACCGGGCAGCTCTGTTTGACTATATATGTTTGACGATATATATATATATATATGATATGTCTCTGCAAACTGACCCCTACTGCCCAAAAAGGCCCCTGATGCCACAAAATCACATGATTTTGAAAACACACACCAACCATAGTTACCGTACCTCTTTGGCCTTCATTTTTTGCCGGAACTCCTCCGCACGCCTCTTCCTCTCCTCTTCACCCTGTCAAACATCAATTCAATTCATGGACAAAATGTTTCGCATAGGATTTAGTGAAATTTCAGTCTGATCCACCTGGCCCATGTGGCTCAATGGTACAGGAGCGAGATCCTACTAGCCATGTATGTAGATTAGTGTGATGGGTGTGGGACGGGTGGGGGACAGGTGGGTGGCATTGTGAAATAGTGAAAACAAACGCAAAAAAAGCATTTCATGACCAAACAAATGAAGAAAAAACTGCTAAAAAAGAAAAGGAAGTGCTCTTCTGACAGATGGTGTCGGCTCCAGGCGGGGTGTCAGATGTCAGGGTATGATTCACTGACCATGGCTGTGGTAGTCAAGACGACTGCATGTGAGTGGGCACACGGACCATATTCATTGACAATAGTATGAGGCTTCCTTGCAGTGCACGCTGTTCGTTTGTTCTGACAGAAATTCTCTTTGGCAAAGGAGGGCAAGAGTAACTCCATACACCATTTGCTGTAGGTGAGGGGATCGAACCCTCCAAACACCTCCCAAACCACAAACAATTTCCTGCGATGAAGCCATTCGCCTTCGCCGTGAATGAAACGTGTGTGATTTCACGAACCAAAAAACTTGGTTCTGATTTCACGCACGTTTGGGACAGCCACAGGACCCCAACAACAACAACAACAAAAGAAAAACCTACCAATGGGAGAGCAAAAAAAAACATCCTTTTCCCGGGCTTAATTCACAAAAACAGGCTACCGCTGATTTCCTGCCGAATCCACGATGCCTGACAGTCACACACCTTAAACACTAATCCGCATACCTTGGTAGTGGGATCTTGCTCCAGTACACACATGCGACTAACTGTCAGTAAACAACTTACGACCCCAAAATCTTTTTTTTTCCCTTGGCGCATCCGCCTGGTAGCGCCGGTCTGGGCGGAAACTCCCGGGTGGGTAGCGAGGATTGTGAGTCCCCTCCTTGACAGATCACTGGGTAAGTGGGTGGGCCCGCTGCACCGTCAGTAGGGCTGACCCCGGCACGGAAAGCCCTCTGACGGACATCCTCCCTGGGTCATAACCCCCGACACCTCTAGAACCCTTTTTGAAATCAGATGAATGTAATAAGAATATTTGGGGGCTAAATTGGCTAATGCTAGTGATACATCTTGTCAGTACTTTTTTTTCTTGGACCTGACCTTTCACGGGACTGAACAGGTGATCTCTGGCCCAATAGCCCAATGCCTTTACCACTGCAACTTTGATATGGTGTTGAATAATTTTGCAGCCATATCCCCAGTATTGACATCCATCCCAATGGCACCGATGCACAGCTGCAGTAGGATCACTCACTCCCCCCCCCCCTCCCAATATCATTAAAAACCCTCCTGCAGGGCACGTTTGCCCTAATACAGACATCTTGAGCAGTGGTAGGCAGAACAGCGATGAGGTTGCACTTTGCGACTGCCACTCAAAGAAATGCCCACTACTAAAAAAAAAAAAAAAAAAAAAAAAAAAAAAAGTCGACAATGGCATCGCTATGTTTGACCCATATCTGCAAAATGGCACTTTTGTGACTGCGACTTTCTTTTTTGAAGTGACAGCGACTTGCAAAAGATCTGTTCACAACTTCACATCAATATTATGGCCTGAGGGGATGCTCAAACTAGGACTTTTTCTGCTTATTTTTCTGGACGTAACTGGGGTCAGATACATCCAAGTAGGGCTGTAATTACGGTCAGATACAGATTTTGCCAGTGCGAGTGTGCTCTAGGGGTCTCTTTAGACACATCTAGAACAGTTGTTCCATTCGGACGAGCTAAGAACTGTCCCGCGCTCGAGCGCACGCGAAAAAAAAGAAAAGAAAAAAACTGTTCCCCGCCTCATTTCTGCACGGATTAAGTGACGGGCCATAAGGGGCCTAGGTACTGTTCCGGGGCAAATCAGCAATCCGCCCCCAATTTTTGTACCCTTTTTGAATTTTTTTGTCCTATAATAGAAGTTGCGTATAGGAAGGGTAGATAAGCAACTTGCAATTGGGTGTCCTCTTTTGTCAACTTCGCTTTTCGGACTTTTTGGATGTGTCAAAAAAGGGCTGCACGCGCGTGTGCTCGGTATTTTCAGTTAATTCCGTTCGTGCAGGTATTTTCGGTATCTTTCTGTGCTATTTATTATGGATAATAATATGCGCTTTGAAGGGAAACAGGGGCAATGCTCTTAGGTGCATTCATGATAGTCTGATTGCTATGAGATGTATGCTTCAAGTATACCCTTATGCAGTGGCTAATGTTTCCGGTCAGTCCATCATCATCAGAGGTTTCAGTCTTCGCACGTTTACTTAAAAAAAAACGAAAGAGAGAAAAGGATTAGATCATCATTGATGATCACTGGGGCAGTAATATCTTCATCTCTTCCATGTTTGTACCAGGGACAAATTTGTATCACTAACTTTGACTGAGAAGTGTGACATTTAGAAGACTGTGTCTGCAGACCAAATGACGTCACTGGGAATCGAACCCCTGACCGCTCGAACAGGTGCCGCTCCCCACCAATAGATGGAGCAGCCCGGCAGATAAGCCCTCCATTCTGACGGTTCTCTTACCACCACCTGGATAGAGGGCTTACACAAGGGTTGATCCCAAAAAAAAAAAAAAAAAAAAAAAAAAAAAAAGGAACCAGTCCATAATATTGTCTATAGAATGCATACACCAGTACGAGCCCCCCCACTGGACAGAAAATTCTGCTGGGAGACGTCAAGGCCATCTTGCTTTTGACGTACCGGCCTGCTGGGGACCCGGGGCCAAGTCCCTTTTTTTTTTTTTTGGTTTAAAAACTCAGTAAACCATGGTAGGTAGGTTGGTAAGAGCAGCCCTCCCTACCAAGGTTTGCGTTGGTCACTCCATCTATTGGTGGGGAGCTGCACCTGCTGGAAAACGGGTCCAGCGTCCCTTTTCATAATAAGAACAAACGCTGTAAGAGTCCAGGCCTGAGCCTCTTCACCCAGGGCAGGGCGCCAGAAGTGAACATTTTAATCCTAGCTGTATGTGGTGCCCGGCTCTTACTTAAACCACCAGTACTTGGCCCAGCTATTGATGCCGAGCCTAAATATGCCCTGCGCGCCAAGCTTTGCCGAGCCTGGAAGGGGCGGGAACCGGTAGGGGGCATTTTGTAGTTGGCACAGGTACCGCCCCTTGTGCTCGACCTGCAACCAGCAGCTGGTACGAAACGGGGTAGCTGTTTTCACTCGTACATTAGCCCACGCCGGCCAGAAGTGAGAAACGGCCAACTAACTTCTGCCAAAAAGGAAAAAAAACAACTGAAAAAGGCAAGAAGGGTGCTCTCAGCTCTGTCAGAGGCCCGCCTCTCACGGCGGGCAGAAGGAAGAGCTTTTCTGATGTGCTCCCCGTGAAGACAAAAAAAATGGCGGAAAATAAAAATAAAAATAAAAATGGCGGTGTACCTCTTTCCACGTTCCAGCAGATGATTCAGTCTCCCCACATGTATCTTTCCATGTTGTAGGGGAGGATTCAGTCTAAAAAGTAAACCAAAAGACAAAAAAGATGGAAATGTATCTTTCTAGGTTCTAGGGGTCGATTCAGTCTTATTTTGCACAAGTCGGACCAAATCTTCTGCCAGAGACAAAGGAAAAAAAAGACTGAAAAGGGCAAAAAGGATTCAAAGCGCCCTCAGCGCTGTCAGAGGCCCGCCGCCCACGGCAGGCAGAAGGAAGAGCTCTGTGGCAACTCTCCAAACGTGAAGGCATGAGACCGAATCCTCCTATGGAACATGGAAAGATACATTTTCGGTTTTTTAGCAGTCCTGTAGTAGTGTAGAGAGACCCAACAGAGCTGGCCCTTCGTCTGCCCGCCTGCCCGCCGTGAGAGGCGGCGCTCTGAAAACACTCAAGGGCGTTATCTCACTCCTTTTGGCCGCCAAGTGGCGGGTACGACTTTGCTTTTTTTTTTCTTCTTTTTTTTTTCCTGCACTTGTCTCGTTTTCATTTGTTTTCTTTTTTTTTTATGGCCTATACTGCGTCTGTGCATTGTTTCCACACGCACGGTATAAACCAAGGGGACAGACTACATTCCATTTGTGATTTTCCTTGGGCCCAATGACTTCTTCCTCCATAGCACTACCGGGCCTTCTCCGAAGCCCGGAAAACCCGTAGCGTTAACGCTAAGGGGCCGCGGCCGATGTATGGGCCAAGTACTGGTGGTTTAAGAAAAAGGTATCTCACAAACTATGCATGATGTATATGCTAGAACTCTCTTTTCCTTACAAGCTTCTATTTCTTCCTAGGCTTCCAGACCATGCCATGACAATGGGTCGATAACATTGGGGGACGGGGGGAAGGGATTGGGGAAATCCAGCATTTGGCAGAGAGGGATGGAGGGGTGAACCTCAGTCCACCCATTAAAAAATAATTTGTAGTTCCTATTTATTTCTTGCCCCTCATCACCTTTCTCACCTTTCCATTCTAACCTTCCAATTTCCCCCCTTTTGTTCCCCCCCCTAGCCAGTCTCTGCTGAAGGATTTGATTGCTTTGAGGATATCTGCTTTTGAGGAGTCGTGTTGTAGCTTGTCTTTTAGCTTTTCCCATTGCACCAAAATATCGTTTTGCACTTGCTGTTTGATGTTATCTGTAAATTATGGGCCATCAAGTCTAACCCCTTCCCATTCATTGGTGCATCTCCGTTGCCAGATAGTCTAGAGAATTGCTCTCCTACCCAGGGTGAATAGGTTTTGAGTACAATTGTCCATTCCAGAGAATTGCTCTCCTACCCAGGGTGAATAGGTTTTGAGTAAAATTGTCCATTTGATCTGGGGTCCAAACTTCTAGCAGAATTACTTTCCATACCCAGGGCAATTGTTGTGTTGTTTCCAGTTGACCCCAGATGCGATCCCACCATCTCTATAGCCAAATGGAAGTTGGGCATGCCAAAAAAATATGTTCTATAGTCTCCGGGATTTTCCTGCTGGGGAAAGCTGATTTACAAAGTTTGCACCAAGGTTCTGCCAACACTTTTTTTTCC